AAAGGGGCAGCAGTGTGAAATAATCGTTACTACATGTATTCTATTTTTACAGAAAGCTTATGCCAGCAATTTGCATTAAATAAATGGCATTTTAGTCAGCAGATATTTTTATACCCCCAGTAATTTACAGGTAGCAGCACAATTTTTCATAATTAACATAATTTAATTTCTTGATGTGACCTTGAGTGTCAGCCAAAAGCATCATTATTATCCTATTACAGTTTCCCTTTCATCAAGTTCTCCTGTTTTTACTGCTGAGCCAGGAAGCTGAAACTCTTATAAGGGTTAAATGTTTATTATTGGCTTTTGTGCATTTTGCAGCATTCTGGGCAGATATGCATTTTCTATATCCTCTGTAGTGACATTCCTGAAGTAAAATGCAGTGTAAGGTTAACTGTGACTTAGACTGCCCATACATTATACAATTTTCTTGAGAATTTTGCTTTAGATTTACCAAAAACCATATAATATGAGGTCAAACCTAAACAACACTTTCAATTGTATTTAATTAGGAAGGACTTGCACTGTATAGTTGAAGGTAAATCTAAAGGAAATTGGGCAGAAATTGGACAGAAAATTGTATAGTGTATGGCCAGCCTTACAGCTTAAAGGGGCATACGTATTAAGCAGTGAATTTGACATTCTCTACAGGTCAATCTTCCAGCTGCACTTTTAAAAATAGTAGTGATTAGTGATAGTATTGATTGACTCACCATCAGTGAATGTTTGGTGAATGTTACAATCAGAACTTTAGAAATGTGTTCTGGAGTGTATCTCTAGCTTTAGAATATGGAACAATTTACCACTTAGACCCTCCATCAGGTTTTTATTGCTGTCAGGGTCCCTGGGGAGATTCACCCTCTCTATTTGTCCTGGTAAGCACTGTTATGGGACAGGTAGTGAAGGGAAATCCTAAATATTACAGTGGTCTGTCTGTGGGATTTCATCTCACTTTAGAGAGATACTGTGTCCGCCAACTTTCTATTGTGTCTCCAGGATAGGAAATGACCTCAACAGAATACAGACAGCAGAAAAATTGTAGCATTCGACATCCGGTTCTGCACTGTCATCTACAGTCAATATAGAAAGTTGGCCGGCCAACGGTGGCACTGTATGAGTCCAAAATAAAGAGCTAGCCAGCACTTTTTAAAGCTGTAGTCCAGGTAGGATCATAATTACTCACTCACACTAGTCCAGCTTGGACCATTGTAAACATGCATATCTCATACCTGAGGGACTGCTGTAGAAGCCATCTTTTCACACTGTTGTCAATCAAGATCTGATGAAGGGGGCGCTCTTGGACCCCCAAATGTGTTGACTACTTTTTGGATTGTCGCCCCAAATTTTATTGGAATAAAGTTATATCTGGACCTCTTATCAGTGGTGTGCCACTTCGATTTCCATTTTTGTTAAATCACTATAGGAGTCCGTGCTACTACAGTTATTGCCACAGTCTTCCAGGTCCTGTGCTGAGTGGCTACCCCACTGTATACAGACTACAGGGGGTTGCACTTGCTGGGCATCTTGAATACAAGGAGATCTCTGACTAGATGCAGTGGAGAGGAAGGGTGGTGATGTCAGAATCTCCACCTTGTTAAATAAGTATAAATGTTACATGCTCTTATTTAGGTGGAAAATGTTGTTTAACCACTTGACTACTGGGCACTTATACCCACTTCGTGCCCAGGCAAATTTTCAGGTTTCAGCGCTGTCACACTTTGAATGACAATTGCGCAGTCATACAACATTGTACTCATATGAGTGGTATTTAATCACCACTGGGTGTTTTATTTTTTGTGCTATAAACAAAAAAAGAGCAAACAATTTGAAAAAAAAAGTTTTTCTTTGTTTCTATTGTAAAATGTTGGAAACAGGTAATTCTTCTCCTTCACTGATGTGCGTTGATGAGGCTGCACTGATAGGCAACACTGATAGGCAGCACTGATGGGCACTGATGAGGTGGCATGGATAGGCAGCACTGATAGGCTGCACTGATGAGGTGGCACTGATGAGGCAGCACTGGTGGGCATTGATGATGGTGCACTGATGATGCTGCACTGATAGGTGGCACTGATGGGCAACACTGATGGGCGGTGCTGATTGACGGCACTGACTGACAGCCCTGGCTAGCAGCACTGACTGATGCCACAGACTGGAGGCACTGCTGGACACTGATAGGTGGTACTGATGGGTGGCACTGATGGGCAGCTATGATGTGTGGCACTGCTGAGGGCCCTGATGGGTGGCACTGCTGGGCGTTGATGAAAGGCACTGCTGGGGGGCACTGCTGGGCACTGGTGGGCGGCACTGCAGGGCAATGATGGGAGGCACTGCTGGGCACTGATGGGAGGCACTGCTGGGCACTGGGGGGTGGCACTGGTGGGCGGCACTGCAGGGCAATCTTCTCTGTGCCAATCTTCTCTGTGATGGCTGCCGGTTATCGTCAGTACTTTCCTAACGTAGTGACAGCGTGAGGAAAGTTCTGCCAATAATTTACTCCATGATCTGCTGTGTCATTGGACACAGCTAATCATGTGGTAAAAGACCACTGTGATTGGCCTTTCAACCTCATCACGTGATCAGCTGTCCTACAAGCTGGCTAAAGATTGTAGGAGGAGTTTTCATACTCCTATGACTGTGCTATGAGGCTGCAGATCCCTCTGTCTGGACAGTGCTGATTGGCCCTGTCCCAATCACATGCACTCTGCCCCCCCCCCCCCCAAAAAAAAACTCTCTAGCAATGCACACTAAATTGAGCATGTGTAGCTTGCCCCAAGGCTCTGTTCTATCAGCACATGGATTGGGGAAAGTAGAAGAAGGGGAGGATTAGAGAAGACAGGTTTAAACAGCCTTTTTACACAATGCAGAGGATTACCCCTTAGTTTCCACAGTGAGTATAACAGGCATGCTTTACTGCATATACAGACTGATTTGATTTTGTTGTGGGTTTAGTAACACTTTAAATTTGACTTGCTCTTTTCTGAAAACTCAGAAACTGAAGTTTTCCTATGTTATGCAGAGAGGGTCAGGGGTCAATTTTTACCATAAAATAACCCTGTCAGTACTGTGCTGGAAGATCTTCATATCAATTATAACCTACGTTTGAACACCGTCTTTCCTAACAAAGAATTAAACATCTAAAAGCTTGGCTTCTCCATTTTATGTTAATGAGAGGATATAAGTGTGTTGTTCCTTGTCAATAAGGACAGATTGAGTTTCCTCAAATTTTGAAATTGTTAACTAATTCCTCCTTAAAGCAGAGACACCAGCACAAACAAAGGGACTGGGCTTCTGGTGTGTCTCTGCACCTTTAATGTACAACTATATGCAAAACTTGTTTTTTCATTTTGAAAAAGGGAGAATTATAATCCCTGACAGATTTTGTTTGCACCATTTGTGTCCCATTGCAGAGATTTCCCTTCACTTCCTGTCCCATAGCCAAACAGGAAGTGAGAGGAAATTCCTGCAAATTAAGGGAATCTCCTAGGGACTTGAAATATTTCCCCGCTATTACTTTTCTGGGGACAACTCAAAATTGTGGATTTTCTTTTACTTTCACTTTTGATGCTAATGGTAAACAGGGCGAATAGAGAGGGTGAATCTCCTTGGGGCCCAAGCAGCAATAAAAAAAACTGACAGGGGTTCTAACCCCTCTGCACTTCATCCAGCACAAAAAACGGTTTTACCTTTAGTTATTCTTCAAAGAGCGATTAGTTACCTCCAGGCAGACCTGCCTTTGATCATTTATTTTGCTGTACATGTCCTAGTGTTAGAGACCACAATGTACAGGGGTCCTGGCAAGGCAATGTTGCTTCCACATAGATTGTCAAATATATGAAGATAACACATAAGGGTTGATTTACTAAAACTGGAAAGTGCCAAATTCAGTGCAGCTCTGCAGAGAAACCAATCAGCTTCCAGGTTTTTTTGTCAAAGCTTCATTGAACTTCATTCCTAACCCCAGAAACCACTAAACAGCTCATCCACTCCCTCATCATATCACGACTCGATTACTGCAACTCCCTCCTTACTGGCCTGCCTCGCCGCTGGCTATTCCCACTTTAGTCGATCCTGAATACGGCTGCCAGACTCATTCACCTTTCCAACCACTCCGTTTACGCCACCCCCCCTCTGCCAAGCCCTCCACTGGCTTCCGATTGCGCAATGGATCAAATTCAAAATCCTAACACTGACGTACAAAGCTGTCCACTATACTGCCCCGAACTACATCACCCAACACTCACACTCCGCTCCTCACAAGACCTCCTTCTCTCTAGTTCCCTGGTCTCCTCCTCCCATGCCCGCCTCCAGGACTTCTCCAGGGTGTCACCCATCCTCTGGAACTCCCTGCCCCAACCCATCAGATTGTCACCTACTCTCCTCTCTCTTTAGGCGCACCCTGAAAACCCACCTCTTCAGGGAAGCCTACCCCAGCCCCTGCTAACTTGCCGACCTCCTCCACTCTTCCTACCACTCCATCCCCCACAGCTTTCTCTTTCTGTGCCACCATTGTTATTGTTCTGTTCCCCATTGTAATGTACAGCGCTGAGCGAACTATTGGCGCTTTATAAATACTGTATAATAATAATAATAATATAATAATTGAACAAATTGAAGTTACAGGCTAATTGGCTACCATGCATACTGGCACCAGATTTTACACTCTCCAGTTTTAGTAAATCAACCCTACAGTGCTGGCTGTTTCTTTCAATTGGATTTATACATTTATACGAGCAGTAGTACAGTGTCCTGTACTCTGAATATAAAAAACATGCAGGGTGGCATTACAATGGATAACAAGGAAGAATGCTGTTTTTCCTGAATGATGATTCAGGAAGGCCGAAAGAATAAATAAAAGGTATTTTATATCTACTGTAGATAGGAAACAGTGCTTACAGGGTAGACATACTATTATTATGAGAAGCTATAGCATGGTTTGCAATAATTTGGTTACAAAATATATATAAAAGATCATAATTTATGTGTTCTAAAAATATGTTTTACCTGTTAGACGAATTAACAAGTGACTTCAAGCTACTTGGGTTACGGATCAACTTGTCCAACATACTGACAATCTCTTCAAACTTGGGCCTGCTGTTCCGGTCCTTCTGCCAGCAATCCAGCATGAGCTGATAAAGAGCAGCCGGGCAATCCATGGGACTTGGCAACCGATATCCTTCCTCAACAGCTTTAATTACCTAACAGAGACAAATTATTTTTTTTATTTTATTTTGGGCTAAAAACATACAAATGAATTGTGCCAAGCCAGGAATCACTAATGTGTATTCAGAGATAGTTTGTTGAATTTGTTGTGAAGTGTTAGATATTTATACAATTGTCTCACCATGTTTGTCCCTTGGCTACTCTATTGATACAGATTAATCTTGCAGAATTTCATAGCCTACATTATTCACATTTAGTTAAAGTATGTCAACATATAAACACAAATGTAATGATCATTCTTTATAAAGGTAGACAAATATAGTTTGGTTGTAGTCAGTACGTGCTGATTGTCAGACACTGTTGCTTCACTTATGGTGGCTTAAAGTGTCATTCCACACAAAACTGATATTTCACTTTTTGGTAAATTCTACAGAGCAAAAACATTTGACAGTTTTTTTTGTTTCTTGAGTCTTTTCTTGAGACCTCTGCACAGATTCTGCACACCTGCTGTGTCCATTATGAGGGTTTCACATGTACATGTGCACAATGGGGTTCTGGAACATGCAAAGGTAGGTGGAAACACCCAAAATACTCAGGTGGAGGAGAGCAGAATCAGAAATTATAGTACAGAGAGCTTGCTCTTGGGAATACCCAAGACTTTTAAGAAACCAGGTGCTGACTTCTGATTCAGCCACAAGACTGAACTTCCAACTAAAAGATCACTTTTGGTTGGATTTTCCCCGAAGGGTTCAAAGAGGCACGAGAGTTATGAGATACTGGTAATTCAATGAATTCCAATAACCCATACTTCAGGTATTTTTTTTTTTATGTAGATTTTCAGTATACTCCATCTGGGTAAAGGTCATTTAGTTCTCCAGTATCTGCCTATATATTATTATTGTTGTTATTATTATTATTATTGCTATTATTCAGCATTTATATAGTGCCAACAATTTGTGCAGTGCTTAAAATATACAGGGAGACAGTACAGTAGTTACATAGTGTATTGAACTGTATTGTTGCTATATTGTCTCCCGTTATATTGTAAAGCACTGAGCAAACTGTTGGAGCTTTATAAATCCTGTAGAATAATAATAATAGTTAGTATGGCTGAAAAAAGACAAAAAGTCCATCTAGTTCCACTATAATAAAAAAAAAAAGTTATATTCCTACACCCACAGTTGATCCAGAGGAAGGCAAAAAAAACCCAGCACAGCACGATCCAATTTGCACCTGCAGGGGGAAAAAATTCCTTCCTGATCCCCCGAGAGGCAATTGGATATTCCCTGGATCAATTGTACCTATAAAGGTTAGTATCCAGTTATACCATGTGTATCTAGGAAAGAATCAGCAATAGAACAGTACAGGTACAATGCAATAAAATTCAAGAGGGTTACGAGGACCCTGCTCATAAAAGCATACAATCTCATAGGCCAAAAAGGAGTGCTATTAAGCTCCAAAATAAAAAAGTAATATATTGCAGCTTACCAATTTTTAGATGTGGTGGCTGATTAGCTTTTTAGTATTTTTTTTTTATCCCTTAGTGATCTGGCCAGTACGTTTGTTATTTTTCAGTTTTCTTTAATGGACCAAGTGGCTGTTTAAGAATTGAGACAAACCATATAACACTGACAATTGTCATTTGTTTATGTAAAACCTTTATCCCAAAAGGAAAAAAAAGACTGCTTAAATGTGTTAGCTGGAGTTTGCTAGTGCATATAACACTATCCTCACCCCATATTGAAAATGCTGCTCTAAGGGTGTTTCATTGCTCTACCAGTAGAGTGGAGCCATCCTGGGGCATAAAGTGTGTTGATGGCCAAATCACCAGGCGAAAATAAAGGAAAAAAATACTAAAAAAAAGACAAGAACTGCAGCCACTACATTTAGGAAAATTGGTAAGCTGCAATATATAACATTTTGGTTTTGGGGTTTAATACTGCATAAATCACTGCCTCCAAAATGAAAATTTAGTGACAATAATGTTAGTTTAATCAGTGGTTCTATGACTGGTTTCACACGGTACAGACTCACTTTTATAATTCTTTGTTAAATCATATATTGTTGTGATTACCTCCTGTGTATGTACATGCTGCAACTTAGATATGATTATATTATAAACAAAAATCAGATATAAATCCAAAAACAAAAAAAAGATGTATTTCATTTTAAATGGCCTATAATACTGCAAATAACACACCTTCATTTACTTTTTTGTTACTTACTTCTGTATGGTATCTATTGAAGGAGCCATGGTTCCCACACAGGCTGGGCTTCAGCCATGTATGCCTTTTGTCATTTCTATTACACAATGGATTGATGGGACTAGTAGTTTGCCAAAAAAGTGATAACATTGTTTATGCTTTCTTTTCAGCTCTCAAGAAGTGACACGGACATTGCATTTTTTTTTTAATCAGCAAGTATACTCTGTACTTATTAAAAATGTTTATAGCTTGAAAAAAAGAAGCAAAAGCAGCCACCACATCACTGGACTGATACACTTCAATATATTATCTTTTTGTTTTATGTTAAACACATTTTGACCCCATAAAAGTAACTTCATGAAGGTGCTCTCACAGATTTTTATTCCTTAATAATACTAGTTTCTGAACGTGGAAACTGTGAGGTTAGATGAGGTGTCTGTTGAGGAAAGCAGAAAAACTGCCACACTAGGTTGAGCTATATTATTTATCAATTTGTGAGACGAATTCAGTAATTGACCACTTCTGTAGCTGCATTGATGACCGAGATATAATTTTAAGATAAAAGTGATCTGAGCAGCTATAAAGCTGCTTGATCACTTTTACAAGCAGTGGAATAGGGTTCCCCTCTTCCTGCCACCACCTTCCCAGGGCCCTCTAAACTGGTAACCTGAAAAGGCTTGTAAAGCATCACCTATGGAGATTTTAGGTATAGTAATTTGCCGCAGTTCCATGGGTGCATGCAATTTTAAAGCGTGACATGTTCAGTATCTATTTACTCGGTGTAACATCATCTTTAAAGCAGAGTTCCACTCAAAAGAGGAAGCTCCGCTTATTTGCCTTGTCCCCTCCTCCACTGCCATGTTTGGCACCTTTTAGGGGGAAGAGGGGAGCGGGTACCTGGTTTTGACAGGTACCTGCAGCCACTTCCAGCTCTGTTTACCAGAGTGAAGTGAGCCGGAAGTTCAGCCCCCTCCTCCCTCCCGCAGTCTCCTGGGAACTTTCACAGGTCCCAGGAGACTGCCAGACTAATAAGAAGGCGCAGCGAGACTTACGCATACACAGTGGGCACCAGGCTGTGAAGCCGTAAGCTGTCACAACCAGGTGCCCACAGTAGAGATGCCGGTGCCGTAGAGGAGAGAAGCGGAGAAGGGACAGCGCGGGTGACTCCGGGACAGGTAAGTGTGTGTTTATTAAAGGTCAGCAGCTACAGTTTTTGTAGCTGCTCACTTTTAATAACCACAAAAAAAACGGCTGGACGGCTGGAACTCCGCTTTAATATTTTACCAAAAGATGGAGTATTATGCTGTGTTTGTGTGTAATAAAACTCTTTACGGTGTTTTTTTTCCTGAAAGTTTGTGTTTGATAAACTGCTGTGCAAATATAAAAAAGATGGAAAACACCAAACCATTTTATTCTTCAGGGTCACTGCTTAAAAAATATATAATGTTTGGGGTTTCTAAGAAATGTTCTAGCAAAAAAAATGCTGATTTTTACATGTATGAGTGAAATGTCAGAATCGGCCTGGACTCCAAGTGGTCAAGTATCCATTTTATATGTAAAATACCAATTTCATATGTACGGTATGTTATGTTTATGTGTGTGACTGAGGTAAAATAAAAAATGTAGTTAAAATAACTCCAATGACTTTGTGAACTGACCCCTTTGTATCCTTTCAACCATAGGTCATCCGGGTGATCAAGATGAGTAAAATAGGGTGATATGCTTACTTCAGCATACCGAACACAATGATGCATGTAACAAGCAATACAGCTGCTATATCTTATGTTGTACAGATGCCAAACATCATGAACAGCTACTTTACTTCACTCAATAGAGAATGAAGGGGAAAAGAAGCATTATCACTGTGGTTTCTGGAAATTCTGCTGTGCATAAACAGTTTTCCCAGTTGATTCAGAAATGCACATGCAATCAGTTTCAGCATCTGATTAGGTGATCAGTTTAATGTACATGATGTAACATAGTACATTTATTTGCTTCAGAAGCTAATTATATTTAGGAATGTTTCAGCTTTCCCAATGGCAATTTGATTCCCCTGTTCTTAGAACATGCTGGATAGCATAATATAGCATCTTTCTGACAATATAGTTTAAAACGGCAAGAATAAAGACCTGAGCTGAGCTGACAAGTTGAGGGGGCACGTAGTATGTGATTGGATTGGAGGAAAGAGGATTAAGGTTTGGAAGTGAAGAAGATTGATCTAAATCTCTTTAAGGTACAGTGGGTAATATGGCAGTGCCTATATAAGAAGGGCATAGTATGGTTTACTCAGGGAACAGTGACTTAATATTACCTATTACTACTAGAAATGAGCTCAGTGTTTGGTCTGAACACAAGTTCCCCCAGCAAGGCACCCCCTCCTCCATGTTGAGGGGATATGGCCTAGTGTGGTTCAGGAAGTGGGGGGCACATGCTCGCCCCCCCCTTCCTTTCCTGGCCAGCCAAGCTACATGCTTGGATTAATGGTCTGGTATGAATTTTTAGGAAGAACCTCATGCATTTTTGCATGCAGTCCCTCTCCAAAAATCCATACCAGACCTACAGGCTTTTATGATGTTCTGCTAGCAATTTTTTTTGTTTGTTTTTTGTGTGAGGCATTCCCTTAAAATCTTTACCCTGCTCAAAGGGTATACAGTTTGTGGTGCAAGTTTTTTAATTGTTTTTTCATTCTATAGCTACAGCATAATGACATTTAAAGGAAAAAAAATTATACCATGTTAATTGCCAGAAAATGACTTTGAAAATGATTATTGTTGGCTTTTTTGTTAAAAAACAAACAAAAAAAAAACAAACCAGCACACAGACTCAGTCAACTGTCCCCTAAAATACATACAAGACTCCTGGGAGGGGGGGGGGGGGCTGTGTGCTGATTAAAAACAAAAAAAGAAGAAGCTGGCAATGACATGTCAGCAGGGGCGGACTGACCATTTGGAAACTTGGGCACTGCCCGAGGGCCCGGGGTCAGTAGGGGGCCCATGAGATGCCCCTGGTACCTTTTTCATAGGATTGTTTGAGTTTTTGGGCAAGGACACAGGGGCCCCATGATCCCCTATTGCCCGGGGGCCCCATGAGTTGTCAGTCCGCCCCTGCATGTCAGTGCTGCTGCAGTACTTTCTGTACATTACAGTGATACATAGGCAGGATTAGGATATCCCCAGGCATGTTATTTCAAGGAATCAGGTATTTTTAAAGTTTCACATGAAGCATTAAAAAAAAATAATTTCTCCTGGTCGAATTAATTTTTAAAAAAACATTTATTTGCATGGGTGCATGTTCCCCAGAGCATTGCCTACCCTCATGCTATGTTTTTGACACCCCCTTAACTATTATCCCAGGGCACTCTTCATGTGACAGATTCAGCTCTCATGTAATCCAAACTTGGGGTTTGGGTTCTTAGGAATGTCTTGAAAATTCACCAGACCTTTGTCAAAGCAAATCCAGAGCAGCTCAGCTCAGCCCATCACTTATCACTATACATATTTGGCTGCAATTTTTCATTCAATATTTTTTTTTTTTATTTATTTAAACTATATGGTTGCAATTGTTAAAGCCTAGAGAAACTAGTTAAGGTTGAAAGTGAAACATTAGGCAAATTGCTAAATACACAGTTCAAATATATATATATATATATATATATATATATATATGTCTTCCTGCCAAAGGAGAGAAATGTAGCAAAGTAGTTTTGTGTTTATATATATATATATATATATATATATATATTATTATTATTTATTATACAGGATTTATATAGCGCCAACAGTTTGCTCAGCACATTTATTTATATATATATATATATATATATAAAACAATGTTGGTTAATATTGAAATTAGTACACAGAAACTGTACTGTAGAAGGGAATATGCAAGAGTAAACATTTAGCAATGAGTTTATGAAATAAACTGTCTCAAGGTTTACCATGTTAATATTATATCTGTACAATATGTTCCATTAACAGATATCCAGTTTTGGCTTCCATATGTATTAAATGTAACTGCATCACATGATGGTAGCTTTAGTGTGAAAAACTCTGTGTGTTTCTTACACTTACTCTTCTTCAAGAGTAAATGTTAAAAGATAAGCTGTGTACATAAAGGTATTTCAGATAACCATACTACCTTCAGTGCATTAATAAGAACATCTACAATGTAGAGGGGGGCTGTAGAGGATCCTCTGAGAGGCACACTGGAGCATAAATGCATCTAATGAATCATATTGTACTGTAGATATGATCCCAGTCAAAGAAAGAACAGTCATCCAATCATTAAAATAGCGGCCATAGAGAAGGCTATATTCTCAAATAGATGAGCTCTTCAACTATCAGGAAATACCAAGGCAGTCAACTTACCCCACTTCTCTGTCTTCTGGGGCCAGCCACTGTACAATATTTGTGGTTATTTTTTCTCAGATGAAACACTCTAATGTTTATTTCAAGCTAAATCCTACCTCATCTCTCTCTATTTGCTGCCTATTGAAGTGCTCACTTCACTGCAGCTGATTTTTGAAACCTCTGCCTGAGTGAACTTTTCAAAATTCAAAGCATATGACTTGTTTTATAGTTCTACTTACATCTTGATTTGTCATCTCCCAGTAGGGTCTTTCACCATATGACATGACTTCCCACATCACTATTCCATAGCTCCAGACATCACTGGCAGAGGTGAATTTACGGAAAGCAATTGCTTCAGGGGCTGTCCACCGTATGGGAATTTTTCCTCCCTGTAAACATTAGAACATGTGGTCAGGTGACAATGCGAATGCCCTTCGTATTCTGAAAGCAATAACGAAACTGAGCAAATAAGTTGAAACAAGGCTCTAAGCCATAAACACACATAACACTTGATGCTCAGGTGAAGTAACACAGGGAATAAAAAGTTCACATCCAACAACTGGTAATAATTTTGTCTCCAGAGTAAAATAAAATGTATGAATCACATGATGTATTTCAAAACAATGAATTGAACTCCATTTACAGACAGTTCAAGATCAGAGCTGTAATCTTCCTTCCTGAACAGTTATTACGGAGCTACATGAAAGTAATAAACTGTACAATGGTAGAAGAAGGAAGGTATAGTCCTGAATGTCAAGTGTGATACACTGCCTAGATTTACAGATAAAATCTAAACTATGAAACTCTTTTCCTGATTACAAATGTGCAGTGTGCTAAGTGTGCTGGCTCAGTTCAAGCAGATATAATAAAATGCACATGGCATGTAGTACAGAAGTACAAAACGTATCTGTATTTCATTTGTCATATGGAAGGAAATAACTTTCATATAAAAGGCTTTAATAAACTGAGGTTATGAGCAATTTTAAGCACATAGAGGAATGGCCAACATCTCACAGTAACTTTAATACTACAGATCACCCTACAGAATATAGCATGTAACACAAAGGTGGTTACATTTAATAAAACATAAACAGCATAGTTCAAATTGCACTGCCCTGTAATTCAGAGCCAGACTCAATAATGCAAACACAATTCAACTTTTATTATGGTTTTTTTATGCATATCATATTTTTCGACATCAGTAAACCATATACTAGGTATTGTTATCCTGTTATTTCATCTCCCCCATTTTGTTTAGCAGGGATGCTTATTCAGATTAATAGATTCCATATTTCACACCAAAGCAAATAACCTAGAAAGTGTAGTGTACAAGGTAGATTTTGGAGTCTAATTATATCTTTTTATGTAAACCAGTGCTTTAGAATATATAGGGGTTGACTTACTAAAAGTGGAGAGTGAAAAATCTGCTTCAGTTCTGCACTGAAACCTACAAGCTTCCAGTTTTTTTTTTGTCAGAGCTTAATCGAACAAATTGAAATTAAAAGCTGATTGGCTACCATGCACAGCTGCACCAGTTTTTCATTCTCCAGTTTTAGTAAATCAACCCCAGAGCTGGCCCACACACACTCAAAAACAAAGTGTAATGTGATTTAAGGTGCGTGACACCAACCAAAAATGAAAGTCTGTACCTTTGAATAGACTCTGGAACTTTCCATACTAACTGCAACTGAGGCTTTCTGCTGTCTATTTGGAAGCATTTGTACTATTTGATTGAAAGGGTCTAGAATACTGATGCATGCTTCAGTAATATTTGGATGAGAGTCACACTATTTTATGTTTTTGACAGCTGGCCTACAGGAACAGAAAAAATTACCTAGATATCTCTGCCAAAAATGCCTTCACTCTCTCAAACAATATTGACTATTTTGAATCCTTATGCTGCTAGCATTAGTAAATAGATAGGAAAGTATATCATATTTATTTAAACTATTATTTACATTTCTTTAATTACATCCTGGTTTCCATGCCTAGGCAAATGATGTTGTACATCCCAGGAGTCTTCAGGCGGGGAGGAGGGGTTTTCTTATCTAAGCATGCTCTCTTGCTTGCATGCTTGAGCTAAGGGCTGATGGATTCAAGGAAGTAATTGCAAAATAATCATCTGCCCTTACTCAAAATGGCCACGGCCAGAAATGCTAGGGGATGTTTTTCAAAGCATTTTATCAGCAAAATAAAGCATGGAGACATGGATGGATGGGTGAGTTTGCTTTGAATATTACAAAATAATTAAGTAGCGCTTTTGGTTTGTGGTGCTCATACACAGTGTAGTTCCACTTTAATAGAATTTTAGAGTGAATGCCTTTTGTAATTAAAAGACAGGGCAGTACAGTGGCTAAGTGGTTAGCACTTCTGCCTGGCAGTACTAGGGTCACTGGATCGAATCCACGGCAGCATCTGCCTGGAGTTTGCATGTTCTTCCTGTGCCTGCATGGGTTTCCTCCGGGTACTCCGGTTTCCTCCCACGCTCCAAAGACATGCTAGTAGGGGAACTGGTTACTGTCTAAATTTGCCCTAGTATGGATATGCATGAATGTGAGTTATGGACCTTAGATTATAAGCCCCTTGAGGGTTATGGACTGATGTGAATGTACAATATATATGTATATATACACGTATGTAAAGCGCTGCGTAAATTGATGGTGCTATATAAGTACCTGTAATAAATAAATAAAGACCTCTAATACATCATTATCACAAGATCTATGAATAAACACATTAAAATTATTACATATATCACCTTAATATGACCAACACAAGCAGAAGATCCCAGTGTTAAGAGGAAAATTTCTCAAAAATGATGACAATCCTTTCTTGTTAGTGTTATTTTTTTTAACTTTGTTGATAAATTGACACTTTTTAAATGACATGTCTACCCTAAAATATATCTAAAGCCAACATTTTGTTTTTTTATTTTGGATAGAGCGGGGAATAAGGCCCCATCAAGTAATTTTGCTACCTGTGTCCCATTGGTGAGAACTGCCTTAATTGCTCACAACAGCGACTGAGAAGAAGTTTGTTTAAATCAATAAATCCTCTCTTCTCTGTCACTTGAACAAGTGTCTCTTGAGATTTCCTCTGTATTTCTGTTTTGGTGACATTTCAACATTTTAGGTCCCCCTTTTGCCACCAAAACAGACCATCTGTTGCCAAAATAGTCCTGACCCATTACGCCATGTACTCCACTAGACCTCTGAAAGTATGCTGTGGTGTCTGGCACAAAACCATCAGTAGCAGATCTTTTAATTCCTGCAATGCAGGGCCTCCATAGATTGTACTTGTTTTATCAGCACATTCTACAGATTCTTGATTAGATTGAGATCTGCATCAACACCTTGAACTCATTGTTGTGTTCTTCAAACCATTCTTGAATCATTTTTGCAGTGTAGCAGGGCACACCATTCTGCTAAAAGAGATGTCACAAACAACGTAATTAATCAGACCAGGCCACCTTATTCCATTGCTCTGTGGTCGAATTCTGATGCTCACATGCCCATTGTAGGCATTTTTGGCTGTGGACGTGGATCAGCATGGGAACCCTGACTGGTCTGTGGCTATACAGCCCCACACGCAACAAACTGCTTACACTTACAATTTTTACCTTCTGTATCACTTGACCTTCCCCTTTAAGATTGTATGCTCTAACAGGTAGGACCCTCTTATTGCTTCTGTATTCAATTGTATTTTTACTTTACAGTTTGCCCTAACATTGTAAAGCGCTGCATAAACTGTTGGCGCTATATACATCCTGAAAAATAATAATAATCCACTGTGTGGTCTAATACCTCTCTATTGGAACAGCATTAACTTTTCAGCAATTTGAGCTACAGTATCCTTTCTATTGGATCAGACTACACAGGACAGCTTTGGCTTCCTATATGCATCAATGAGCCTTGGCCTCCAATAACCCTGTTACCAGTTTGCCAGTTTTCCTTCCTTGGACCATCTCTGATAGGTCCTCACCAGTGCAGACCAGTAACACCCCAGAAGAACTGCAGTTTTGGAGTTGCTATGACTTAGTCATCTAGCCATTACAAGTTGGCCCTTGTCTCAAATCCCTGCACTTGCCCATTTTTTTTCTGCTTTCAACACATCAACATCAAGGACAACATGCTTGCTTGCTGCTCAATATTTAGCACCCTCTTTGAGATGGCATTGTAACAAGAGCATCAATGCTATTCACATTCTCAGGACCTGTTTGCCTTGTCCACTTGTTATCTATGTGGTTGACATGCTGAGTAATTTTAACAGCATACACATGATCACAATTCTACATTCCTGAACGGAAGAGTGATACACCAGTCTCTGGTATTACCCATAGCAAATAATAACAAATAAGCATAAAACCTTTTTTACTGTTCAGTTTTCAACCATTTGGCTCCTCCTCTCTTCATCACACATAAAACTCAAACATAGGCTAAATGTTGCTTTCTTACTGGGTATTGTCAGCTTCACTCAAATGAGTAATGCAAGGGATGGGTGTACTGCCCATCTGTTCAGCTTTGATGAGGTAGAATATGTGAATGCTGACAACTTTACTCAGCATGTCTACCAATCAGCTATTGGGTGAACAAGACAGACAGAAGGGAGTAAATGAGAGCAAGTTTCTTAGGTTTTGTTCAGTGCTGGGACTTGTAGGTAACAGGATAGTACCTTCTGTGTACTCATTCCTCTACAGATGCCTGGCTGTTCTTTTAGTGATTGGAAAATAGCCAATTTTGGTTGATTTTAGCAAAAATGAAAAAGTTATAGTATTTATATTGCTGCAGTTGCCCTTTTTCGTACTGGAGGCACTATATTTACCTTTCTTTTTCCCTTTCCCCCCAGCACCACCCTGATTTACCATTAGACTGCCCAAAATTTCTGTGCAAGTCTCAGCTTTCTGAAGATTGACTGCACAGACGCCAGTCATTGAATTGGGGAACATACCATGCATTTCCCTATATCTAGAGGTACTAAATATATCTCCAAGCTCTGGTGGTGGATTTGAGGAGTACAGGAGTTAAAGTGTAAATAAATGCAAATGCTCAATAACTTTAAATCTACTCTCTGCCATATTCTAGGCTTAATCTATCCAGCTCTGTAAAGGAAAATATTGCTATACTTACCTGTATTGCAGCCACTCCGGTCCAGTCTCCAGCGGCACCCTCTGTGTGCTGGAGACAGCCAACAATGGCTGGGAAATGCCTTTAAAGTGATGTTACCCATAGAGTTACTATAGGGCTTCCATTGTTGGCTGCCTCTTCTGCACACTCCTACAAAATGAAGCCGCAGCTGATAGCTCAGCGTGGGCAGGAGCTGCTGCAGTATAGGTAAGTGACATATTAGGCTTAGAACGAGGCTTGGAGTGGTTTTAGCATTAGTTAGGATTTGCCTTAAGCTCAAATATGGTGCCCTCTATGCAGCTAATCTGTTATTTGTCTAGTATGGGCAGTGTACAGATCCATAGTTTTAACATTATTATCATTACAAAAAAAATCACAGATCAGCTTTTATGTGCGACTAAACTGCTAAAAGCAGCTTATGCATGTATTTGCAAATGTGTGCAAGCTAAACCCCTGTTTTTAATGCAAACTATTAGACAGGACAATTCAGTAACTGGTCAGTAAGTTGAGATGGGAATTTTTCTTTTTTGTTGTTTGACATGTGTCGCCCTTCCATGTGATCCTTGCTGCCAAGGCCAATTATAGATTAGGGCAGTTGCCAATTGTTTAAACTGAAGCCTTGGGTTAATGCTGTGAGTTAATATGCATGAATTGTTAAAAAATAAGTCCACTTCAGCCTGCTTTACACCATGTTGGGGTGATCCAGGACTCTTTGTTTCAACTATTTCTTGGAAAAAATAAAGGTGCCTTCCTGGCTCTAGTCAAAAATTGCTTGGATTATTTTCACTGTAGGGAACATTCAACAAATAGCAGAATACCACAGGCTATTTGGAAAATGCCACCGGCAATTTAGCTTCTTCACAAAACTACAAAATATTCATAAATAACCCCCAAAAATGTATAAAAATATACACACAGGAAATTGGAAACAGCCATTTAAATCCTCAACAAACAAGACAAGCATAGATACAAAGAGATAAAGATAGGTAGGTTAGACTTCTGTGATAAAAGACTTGTACTGCAAATTCAGCCATACATCAGGCTGCAATGTACTAATTTCCACAAGTCGAGAGACCATAGTCCATTACATTGTAGGAATAAAAACACATTATAGTTGACATATAAAAGGTATAGAGAGTTCTGTTAGCAATGCAAATGTATACCTCTGCTTAGTGAATAGGGTGAAGCTGTGCTGACTTTTATTATTAAATTGTATAAACAAAAATCCTGTTTTCCTAATCTCCCTTTGCACCTGATTGGGTATTTAAAGTGAACAAAATGTCACCCTATTTAGATAATTTAAGGGAACAAAATAAACATCTTTATTCCTTTGGTAAATCAACCCCATACAGTATTTAATTTAATGGAGCAATAGACTATATATAAAACCTTACCCTTGTTGTGTATGCAGCTTCAGATCATCTTCAAGAACCCTAGAAAGGCCAAAATCTGAAACCTTGCACACCAGATTGCTGTTAATGAGGATGTTTCTTGCTGCCAGGTCTCTGTGCACATAGCCCATGTCTGAGAGGTACTTCATTCCAGATGCAATCCCCCTCAGCATACCCACTAGCTGAATCACAGTGAACTGGCCATCATTTTTCTGAAGGAAAAAAATTTACAAATTGGACATATTGCTTTTTCATGGTGATAAGGCACAATAAGAGTCAAACAACATTTTATTTAAAGTAAACCTATCACTAATACAGGTGCTACCTAAGCTTCAATTGCAAACTGCAATTTGCCTGGCTGATGCAATGACCCTTTTTCTAAAACACTTTCTGAGTCACTAACATGAAACAAGTACCCAGATTAAAAAGTCAGAAGTTATTATCTGCATACTTGTTCCAGGTTAGTATCTCAAAGTACTAAAGAGAGTCAGCATGACTGCCAGGAAGCCATAATTTTCAAAATGACAGCCTCACTGTTTCTCTATAGATTTTTTTCAAAGAAATTTAAAAAATAAAAAATAATAACACATGTTTTCACTTCTGAAATTCTCCAGGGAAACTCACAGGAGTCTAACAGAAAATACTGTAAAATAATAACTATAAGAAAAGCATAACAACACACATCAACACATTGTATTCCAAAATGTGTTCCCCATCTTCACATCTTTCTTCTAGTAGCACAAGGGTGGCACCTGCTGTTATAAATGACTCTAGCCAATCAATGTGATACTCTGGGGCACTGACACATTTTATTGGATTGGTTTAGTCTTAATATCAGCCTTCAGGAATAAGCATACAAAGTATGGTGGCCACAAAGACTCAGTCAAGGAGGTCCTCTTTGGGAATATGGTGTGAGAATCATGAAACATTGGTTCTGTATCCACTTGCCTACAGGGCACTTATACCAACTTCATGCCCAGATCAATTTTCAGCTTTCAGTGCTGTCGCATTTTGAATGACAATTGCACGGTCATGTAACATTGTACCAATGTGAAATTTTGATCACACATACAGAGCTTTTTTATGGTGGTATTAATCGCCACTGGATGTTTTATTTTTTTGCACTATAAAGCAAAAAATTTGAAAAAAAAGCTTTTCTTTGTTTCTATTATAAAATTTTGCAAACAGGTAATTTTTCTCCTTCACTGATGTGCATTGATGAGGCTGCACTGATAGGCATCACTGATGGGCACTGATAGGCAGCTCTGATTGGGCACTGATGAGGTGGAATGGATAGGCAGCACTGATGGACACTGATAGGCTGCACTGATGAGGTGGCATTCATGAGGTGACACTGGTGGGCATTGATGAGGATGCACTGATGATGCTGCACTGATATGCTGCATTGATGGTCACTGATAGGTGGCACTGATGGGCAATACTGATGGCAGCTCTGACTGACGGCACTGACTGATGGCATTGACTGGCGGCACTGCTGGGCACTGATAGGCAACACTGCTGGGCATGGATTGGCACAACTGCTGGGCAGCACTGATCAGTGGCACTGCTGGGCGGCACTGCAGGGCACTGATCATCAGTGCCCTGATGATCAGTGCAGATCTCCTCTGTGACAGCAATGACTGGCAGCACTGACTGATGGCACTGCTGGGCACTGCTGGGCAACACTGTTGGGCAAAGATTGGCACAACTGCTGGGCAGCACTGATGGGTGGCACTGCTGGGTGGCACTGCAGGGCACTGATCATCAGTGCCCTGATGATCAGTGCAGATCTCCTCTGTGACAGCTGCCTGTTATCAGCAGTACTTTCCTAACACTGTGACAGCATAAGGAAAGTGCTACCGATAACCAGCAACTGTATTTACTCTGTGATCTGTGGTGTCATTGGGCTCCACTGATCACGTAGTAAAAGGCCGCTATGATTGGCCTTTTACCTCATCACATGATCAGCTGTGTTCGTAGGACACAGCAATCATGGAGATCACCGGGGGCAATTGAGAGGGCGTGTTCTGGGAGGACATCATATGACGCCCTCCCAGAACTGGGTAACCATGCAGTAGTCGTTATTCAGCTATAGCACGGTTACCAAGTGGTTATAGGACCTCATTCCTTTTATACTTTCTGTATGATTGTATCTTTGTGGCCACCATACTTTGGTGTGCTTATTCTTCTTTTAATGTACACTATAAGGTTTCATGTACATAAGAAGCTGCTAAACCGAGTTTAGGAGCTTTTGGCATTTTTTTAGGCTTTTAACAGAATTTAAGAGCTGTCGCGTTTAGGTGAGGTTAAACCTCCCTCTCCTGAACACGAAAGAATCATGTTCAGGATAGAAACTTTTTGACCGCCAACCACGGGAAAACGCAAAACATTTGTGTTTCCCAGCAGCCGGTGGTCAGAGTAGGCTCGTGTACATGAAGCCTTATGCCTTTGTAAATCTTTGCTACATCTTACTAATAAATATTTTTTTTTTATGCATCAGAACTTTAGTTGGTGTGCTAACTTTAGTTTTCTTTCAAATAGTTTTTATTAATTTTAAGGCAAAATAACAAATAACAGAGAAAAACTTAATAGAAAAGAAAAAGTGAAAAAGTTAGTTCACTACAATGAACATAGAATGCCTAGTGCTACGGCACTGTAATATCAAGTAATCTGTAACAAGTTACAATATATTGCATCAAAATTGCAGAATAATAATGATTATTGTTGCATGTTCTTTACTATCAGCTAATTTTAGTTTTAATTGTATTTACTTAGTCTGACACAGACTGTTTAAATTACTCAGAGGTGTTAACTCTTCTTCACTATGTATACCCAAAACTAGACACATTTTTGCTGGAGCTGAGCTTTAAAGAACTACTTTTTTAAAAAAAAAAACATTTAATAGTTTCTAATGGAAAAACTGCCACTTCTCAAAATTGCAAATTGCAGCAAAGGGTTGCAAATTTTAATTAAATGGCTAAGAAGAATCTACAGAAAGAGTCTGGTTTTAATTCAACATGGAAAACCATTTTAAGGTTTTATATAGTTGAGACTGCTAACACACAGAGCATTCATGGTTTGCCAACCATGTTCACATTTATAAACTTTGATCAGGAGGCAATGTTTTTAAAATGAGATTTTTTTTCCTTTTAAGAAAATCATCAGGGTTTTCAGTGAAGGTTAAGCTAGGACAGTGTCTTGTGCAATAACTCACACAAGCAACGCTTGGCAGCCATGCACTGGAAAGGAGCCCTAGACAATGTAAAAGCACATGAGCGACCAACATTGCAATCAAATGCTACAAAATTGCCCTGGAAATAGGAAAAAGGGGGATTTCAGTAAAATACAATGTACTGGTGGTTAGAAAAGCATTTTGGTTTGCCATAGAATTTTCAGGCTTAATGCGATGCACTTTATTTAAAATCACCGCACAAGATGATGTGCACTATGTAATAACATAAAGTCTAGTACGCTCGCAGGGTTGTCTAAAAGCAGGTTCAGTTAAGGAAGAACTCTGCTAAGCAAAATGTGTATGTACAACACAACAGCAACAGCCCTTTTCAATTAAATCAATTATTTACAGGGTCAATGTGGCTTTAACAATCATACATAATATATGTGAACAATAAAACAGTTTTCAGTTTGTAGCTACTTCTAATTTTGTCATGGCTGGACAAGTTTGAAGCAGGGCAAAAAAATGAAAAGTTCTGCTGAAATCTGCTGCTGGTATGTATATGCATCTCTACTTGGACCCAGGGGTGGACTGACCACTTGGAAACTCGGGCACTGCCCGAGGGACCGGGGTCCGTAGGGGGCCCCATGAGATGCCCCTGGTACCTTTTTCATAGGCTTTTTTGAGTTTGGGCAAGGACACAGGGGCCCATGATCCCCTATTGCCCCGGGGCCCCATGAGTTGTCCCCATGAGTCCGTCTCTGCTTGCACCTATCAACAGCCTTCAGTAGTATTAAAATTAAGTCTTTTTAATTGTGGAATTTGGATATGCTACATGCTCACAAAAAAACTTATTGAAAGTAAATGGGGTGTGTAGTACATCCAGTTCTTCTCCCCTAGTGCTGCTTTAACCCTTGCACTTGCCAGCAATACCCAGCTGTCAAAATGATAGCCTGGAGTTGCTGTGTAACTACAGAAGCTATAGAAGCTACTGCTGTAAAAAAAAGACAATTGACTCAGTGTTTATAAACACGGTTTATATATTTTCTGTTTTCATTTACAGATCAGTGCGATGAGCTTTGATCTACAGATGTTATAAGTTTAAGCAACCCATTACAAAGTTTTGTTTTGTTTTGTTTTTTTAAATGTGTTCCAATTACACCTCTTATTAACCCTTAGTTTTTCCTAATCAGTCCTAATTAACTCCTTATTCCTCTCCCCTTAACTACTATTTCCAGATGATTTTTTTCTATCTAATATTTTTAATCTTTTAGTTATTTATTTGTTTGTTTATATACTTATTTGTTTTTGGTTATTTGATTTTAGTGTCACATTAAAAAAGTAAAAAATTTAAAAAAAAGTATTCATTTATAAATAACTTTGCAGCTTTGTACATGAATCATACATTTTTTGTCATTTTAAATAAGGAAAGTTATAGAAAACAATTAATACTTTTATCTGCATTGTCATTACTTTTTTCAAACTAAGACTAGACAAAATAGAAAAAAGTGCATTTTTTAGTTTTGTTACATTTTTTACATATAAAAAATTATTTGTACAAGATAATATCGCCAAAAGAAAGTCTTATTTGTCCCAAAAATCATATATGTATTACTTGTTATCCTAAGTAATGCCAGTGTCATTGCCAAAGAAACAGGCCCATTGCAGAAATGTAAAAAATGCTCTGGTTTACAGGGGAGTAAATGTATGAAAGTTGAACTTGTTAATAGCCCTAACCACATTAAAACTGTTCACTACCTTCTTTTTTGGGTTAGAAGTAGGGTTTGGTTTAGGCTAAAGTTACAACTTTGGTTAGAAATAGGTTTATGGATTAACTTTGCCTTTACTACTTGATTCTTTTTATTCTGTACTGGTGAATGTTACTACAATTCACTTCGGTATCATTCATGAAATATGTGAGTACTGTTACCATGTAAAAACAACTTGTTTAAAATATGAAAAATTATTGGCATAAAGCAAGAAACTACCTTGAATGATTTCATGATTGAATTCAAAGTAAACCACATATATATATATATATATATATATATATATATATATATATATATATATATATATATATGGGTTGTATGGGTGACAGCATCATATTAGGCTTCCAAATTACATCAGGTCCTAAAATAGAAATTCTTTTTTGTTTTATGAATGCCTTACATTTATTTTGCTGGTTTTCTCATGCGTGGTAATGATGTCTGCATGCTGCATGCTAATAATGATGTAGTAACACAGTGGCTAGAGTAACACCATCATATCATCACATAACAATGTAATTGTTGAACCAGGACCCAGGATGTTGTAGGTATATTTTTTCTACATAATATTAGACAAGGGATTTTTCTTTATATAAAATAAAATATTATCTCATTTAAGTATACCACATAAAAGATGCTACCTTTAAAAAAGTATCCAAAGAACCATTTTCCATGTATTCTGTGACAATCATCACTGGTTTGCCTGAAGGAAACAAAAATTTTTTCTTGAGACAGAAAATAATATATGGAAAAGTTTCTATAAAATAAACTATGCATAAATAATAGTAATGATACAGTAATAACAATAACTACAATTTGTAGTAACAGTTACTGCGGTTTCTACAATAACCTGTTTTGATAGTTGTCAGTTAAACAGGACTTTACAAAAACTGGTTTGCCTGAAGGAAACAAAAACGTTTTCTCGAGACAGAAAATAATATATGGAAAAGTTTCAATAAAATAAACTATGCATAAATAATAGTAATGATACAGTAATAACAATAACAACAATCTGTAGTAACAGTTACTGCGGTTTCTACAATAACCTGTGTTGATAGTTGTCAGTTAAATGGGACTTTCCAAAAACAACTATGTGATTTCAAAGTATCTTATTTTTAAAAACATCACTACTGATAACTATAACAAGGATCCATGTATCACTGGAGCATATTGTTTTTGCCAGACATTAATAACACATTCCCTGGAGAACAATTCACTGTATATATAAAACATATTTGTAGCACATTTACAAGGCAAAATAACATTCAGCAACATCTGTAATTTAGTGGTAACAGGTGCTTTTCTTTGCCTAAGCAAGACAAATGTTACATTCCTTGAACATTCAAAGGGCACATTTTTTTCTTGCACATTTGCCAGAATGAAATGGCACATTAGCCTATTTTTTAATATCACTGATAAAAGTGAACCCATAATTTTTTGGCATGCTGACGTGTGTCTAATTAATTTTCTGCCCCTCCACTCTCAAATTTGTGAATAACATGAAACTATTCTGGCACCTTCCCTTGGTAATTGAGGGTGAGAAAACAACTGATGCCTGTCGCCATTGGGCACCTTACCTTTGGAGGGGGAGGGCTAGGCTTGTACTATCATAGAATAGAGCCATATATTTATTTAGTACAGGTACTTATATAGTGCTGTCAATTTATGCAGCGCTTTTATATATATATTGTACATTCACATCAGTCCCTAACCCTCAAGGGGTGTACAATTTAAGGACCCTAACTCACATTCATACATACACATACTAGGGCCAGTTTCGACAGGATCCAATTAACCTACCAGCATGTCTTTGGAGTGTGTGTGGGATATGGCAAAAGCATACATTGAATTTAACCCCTTTTGTGCTTTTACATCATTATGTTAACGTTATTTTCCTTGCTGGGGGGAAGGGAAGTTTCACTATCACTAGGGTTCTAAATTAATGGCAAAAACTTTCATGAATGATCATGGCTTTACACATATTTCCATTTAACATAGCATATATTGTTTACTAGAACTGTGATCAGTTACATATATTTTTGTATCTCAAACTTTACAAATCCTACATGTCCTAGCGATCATAGCAACCTTTTTTCCCATTACAGTTATTATTATTAACATTAAAGATATTTGTTCAGCTCCAACAATTTATACAGCACTTTAAATATAGTGCAATTATATCATTCCCTCCCGTCAAGCAGCTTAAAATCTAAGGTCCTTATCTCATATGCATACATACATTATGCACATACTATGGCCAACTTTAGATGGAAGCCAATTAACCTACCAGCATGTTAGAGTGTTGATGGAAACCGGAGTAACTTAAGGAAACCCAGGCAAGCACAGGGAGGACATGTTGGCAATCTCATTATAGGCTTTCTAAAATAAATGAGCATTTGATGTTGATCCTATGGGGCCATTTACTAAAGGAGTACATTTTCACTTGTGCATAGAAATTAAAAAATAAGAGTTATCTTGATGCATGATTCAAAGGTCGAAGTAAGAACAGCTACTCTTAGTAAAATGCGTACAGCTTTATTAAGCTTCATGAAAAACACACTGCTTTAGCAAAAGTAACATTGAGAAAGCACGAGGGTAATATTTCTAATGTACGGACAGAAGATGTTATTATACACATAAAGAAAAGAAGGAAAAATTATATATACACAGTATATATATATATATATATATATATTCTCATGATCAGTGACACTCCACGAGGTGAGATCTTGCATGGTGCACCAGACCTAGGGAGACTGACAGTTGTTTTGTGTTTTTTCCATTTGCAAATGATTACACCAACTGTTGTCACCTTCTCACGAAGCTGCATGGCGATAGTTTGGTAGCCCAGTCAAGCCTTGTGTAGGTCTACAATCTTGTCCCTGACATCCTTGGACAGCTCTTTGGTCTTTGCCATGGTGTAGAGTTTGGAATCTGATTGTTTGATTGCTCCTGTGGACAGGTGTCTTTTATACAGGTAACAAAATGAGATTAGCAGCACTCCCTTTAAGAGACTGCTTCTAATCTCAGCTTGTTACCTGTGTGAATGACACCTGGTAGCCAGAAAGCCTGCTGAATGATAGGGGATCAAATACTTATTTCCCTCATGAACATGCAAATCAGTGCATCATTTGTTAGACATTTCTTTTGAATTTTTTGTTGCTATTCTGTCTCTCAGTGGTACAAAACACCTACCATTCTATTTTTAGGCTGATCATTTCTTTGTGAGTGGGCAAACATTCAAAATCAGCAGGGGATCAAATACTTATTTCCTTCACTGTATAAATGTGTGTGTTAGAAATACTTATAATGAATACATATACTTTACAATATGATCTTATACTTGTCCACTCTTTTTACACATTCTATTAGATTCAGGAGAAATTTCATTTTTACGGATTTTTATACTGCATGTTATTCCAAACAAAACTTTTTCAGATCACGATAAAGTAGGAAAGGTTAAAACCTCTGCTGGGATCCTTTCCAAAGGGCATACAGACATCTGTAAAAATCTAAGAGAGGTTCTGTTTGAAGCTAAATGAACTTTTGAAGCAAACTAAGGGACTTAGGGTCGGTGTAAAAAATGTCTTTCAGTAAACCAGCCATTATGTTGCTAACAATTCTGAGTAGGTGTAAGTATACCAAAGCAGGGCACCCTGGAATTCAAACTGTTTCTGACACCGATGCTATTATTACAAATTCCCAGCCAAGAACTGGAATGTTCACAAAATAGCAACTCTAACTTTTATGCTCAGTTTCTTTAGAAGAAAACAAGCTGACAGTGAAAAAATATCTGCAGGATATGTATTTGTGCTACATTTTCCTCATCTGGGTGCTGCAATAGGAAAGTAATTGTTGAGCACATTAGCACCGGACCAGAAAGCATGAAATTAAAAGACACAAATAACATGGCAAATTAGAAGTCACATTAGAAGCCAAGTGGATGCTTTAGCTAGATCAGAAAGAAAATAACCCTGTAAAATTCCAGCATCAGATCAATTTATACACTAAAAGAATAAGAACACAATACATAAATCAGACATTGTGTTACAATGATAGTTCTCATTACTTTGGTTTTTATTTGAAATTAAACACAGCATGCCTAAACAATTGGTGTGGATGTGAAGAATGTTTAAAAGTATTTTCAATATATTTATCTGCTTTAATAAACACTTTATCCTTTGTGTGCTCCGTTAAGAAATGACTGTATGCTGCATCTAATACTAATATCAGTCTTTACATATGGTTAAAGTGTATCTAAACCCAAAAACAAATGTAATATATTGCAGTTTATCAATCCTTGATGTGGTGGTTGCATTATTTTTTTCTTCTATTTTCTCTTTTATTTTGACCTGTTGGTCTGGCCGGGAAGTCTGTTCATTTTTAGTATTTTTGAACAGACAACGTTTTCTAGCAAAAGTGGCAATTAGAGGCATAGAACTAACCATTTATCACTGAAAGTGGTGCTTAGAATGATCAGCTTTTATTGATTTAGGTAAAACCTTTACACCAAAACTTCTGTTACACAAGCAAACTTCTGTTACTGCCTAAAAAGGGTTAACTGGAATTATGTGTTAATCATTTGTGTAAAATGTATCTAAATCAACCAGTTCATTTGACACTACTATTTTCAGGATGGCTGCTCCAGAGATAATGTAAGGGAGTAAGTTTAGCCACTCTAAGACAGGAAGTGTGTTACTTGCTGGATCACCAGGTAAAAATCAAGGAATAAAACCTAAAAAAAAGAAAAAACTAATGCCACTACAATATCTAAGGATTGGTAAACTACTATATATTATTTCATTATATTATTATTTGTCATTTGATTGTACTGTACTTGCTTGTGTTTTATAAGCTCAGCACTAAATATTTTAGAAAACAGTACAGAAATGTTTTGTGTGTAAAGTGTATGCATATCTATTTGTTTAAGGCAAGGTGTTGAAGGGTTAGTTCCCCATTGGGTTTTTATTGCCGACAAAACAGAACCCCCTGGTAACAGTTTTGGAGAAAATGATTTGCAATTAGTTATTAACATTTCCCCAGTGCTCCTGGCATCATCTCTTTTCTCTCTGTCCCAAAAATCTCATGTTCCAATAAAACTCGCTAATGCTCCATCTCAGTTACCTAGATCAGTTCCAAGTTAAAATCACAATCTTACTTTGAGGTTTGTGCACCCATTTTTAAGGCCATACTGGCCAGTCAACATCACATTATGAATTCTATAAAGCACACTATTCTTTTCTATGAAGTAATTTAGATACTCATCATGTACAATATTAACAACTGATATGAATTGAATTGTGAAGTAGCTAGTTAAATACAAATCATGTTGTTATTGGTTATAATAATGATGTAATATTTAAAAAAACTGCATACTTTTTGTGACAACTCCTTCCAAGTGAATGATATTTGGGTGATCAAACTGTCCCATTATACTTGCTTCTCCCAAGAAATCTCTTCTCTGCTTATCAGTGTATCCAGCCTTAAGAGTCTTGATTGCCACAGGAAACTCTCTCTTTCCAGGAAGTTTAATTCGGCCACTGCAAACTTCCCCAAATTCACCTACATAGAAATAACAATAAATACAATCAACTAGTTAGTTATGCCAGTCAACCAATCAATCTTTCTCATCTACACTCATATTTTACATCAAAGTGAGCTCTAAAAATAACTACATTCAAAATCAATTTTTCATTTTGCTTACTATCTTTTATTGTCTTATAGTTGGTCATTTATACAGTTGTAACTGCTATTACCACTATGAATATAATATAGAAACTGTGGAAACCAGTGGGTTCCATTCAGCCATGAGTTATTACACCTCTCTTTGAAAAAGCACTGTGAACAGCACAAAACATGTAAAAACTAATATTTTGTTGCCACAATTCAAATGAAAAACGTTTGCAGCTGCCTGAAATCAGTGTAGTTATCCTCCAAATTTGCTGTGGGTAATGTTTGCTGTGGATGGTTCAGGCCATCTGGGGTATGCTTAAATTAATGTGCAGACTAAGCTGGGGCCATGTTTGATTGTTAGTTACCTAGTGTCTAGGGCCATTTATACATACAGTATACTAAAGTTCAATGTGCACTAACTATAGCAGCAGATTTCTGTCTTGTCTGTTGCCATTGGTTATTGCACATCACTATACTTTTCATGATGGTAACAAATATATAATTTTGACTTTAGAACAACTTCCTAGCATAAGGTACAAACCTGTTCCTGGAAGGGAAAGCTAAAGCACAACTCCAGCTGCTCATCTCTTCCCATTTTGTTCATTACAAACCTCCAACCTAACATTTTTGCTTGCACCCTTAGAAAAAACAACAATGTATACACACCCCCCTTTTCCTGTCTTCAGACGGGTTGCATGACAGCTTCTAGCCTCTTCTGTGACCAATTCCTACTCTTCTTTCTCTAACTGTAGGTGGGACCTGAATGTTGCACATAGTTGAGCCCCATAATAATATTGCCCAATCTGTACAGCACTCTTTTGTAAGTGTAGGGTGGCCTGATAATGTGTCCCCCAGAAGAATATTGTTGAAACCTTTGGCTCATGGGAAGTGGGTTGAATTACACTGGGCATCATTACACTCAGAAGAGGACCGGCTATAAATTTCTGCTTTATACAGTATGTTTTAACTCCATAGAGCAATTTATTTCAAAACGTTTTAATGAAGCTGGATTTAGGTCTTATTGCTACAATGTTTAACGCTAAATTAGTGCAATAACATACCTGCTCCAATAACTCGCTCAATAGTTATACAGGAAGCATCAATCTCCTTGGCAAATTCATGCACTGCCTGATTTGGGTCTTCATAGGTATGAGGATCAATGTATGTCTTTATTCCTGGAAGTTTAACTGTTGAGGAACAGAAGACTATTTCTTTATTAGTCAGAAATGTAATTTAAAAATAAAACATTCCCATTTCAGATATTCTGTTTAAAAAAAAAAGAAAAAAAAATAGCTTCGAGCATATGTTATCTCTGAAATGTTTAGGCAGTAAAAAAAGCAATGCTAAGTGAAGGCAACTGACCATACGCCATTTCTTCTACTTACTATATACTGCTGTTTGAAATGGAGTTTGCCCCAATAATTTTTATTCCATTTCGGATTAATAGACTTACAAGTTATAACAACAAAACACTGTGGTGAAACCAGGATCTGGAAAGTATTTCAATATCAAAGCCTGTGCTATTTTGTTAATTAAAGCAAGTTGTATTTAAATTCATTCTGTTACTTTGACTATTTAGGGAAAAATAACAGGTCCACTTTATAGTCCACCTCCACTAATACTTACACTTACCTTTCCCATCCCATTCACCAGAAGTACTTTAAAATACCCAGAAAACTTTAAGTTATGGGGAAACATGTGACTTTCTCTCCTCCTCCTCCCTGATCAGTAATCATCAGACCCAAGCACAATCAAGGGGTAGGAGGAAGGTCCTTAGTGCTGTATAAGGTCTACCACCGATAAGGAGCTATAAAGACTTCATACTTAAGGTTCTTGTAGGAGAACAGCACGGAGACAATTGGTGCCAGATGAAGTAAGCTATAAAAAAACTTGTTACTTCACCTTAATGGGCAAAGTTACAGTTTTCTATTAACAATAACAAAAGAATAGTTAATTTATTACAGAATATTGCTGAAAATATCCCAATGCATTAAAAAAGTTACCAAATGCCAAAAACAGGAGTATTACATATCTTTAGAAAATGTATTGGTTTCACCCAGGGGCGGACTGACAACTCATGGGGCCCCCCGGGCAATAGGGGATCATGGGGCCCCTGTGTCCTTGCCCACACTCAAAAAAACCCTATAAAAAAGGTTTTAGGGGCATTTCATGGGGCCCTCTACTGACCCCGGGCCCTCGAGCAGTGACCCGGGTGCTTGAATGGTCAGTCCGCCCCTGGTTTCACCATACAATATATTTGAAGTATCAAATATATTTTGAATGGGACCTGAAGGACACCCTCAGGGACAAGTAGAAACCAAAACAGATATTATTATAGTTATACAGTTAAATTCATACACGTTTATTTTAAGCAAAGTACTGATATATCAATGAACAGAATCTTATTTCACATCCTAATTGTAATTATAGACTGTATATTATGTGATTGTATAACACAAACACTAAGTAACAGGTAGTGGAATCATCTAAAGCCTTTGAAAGTGTCATATGACATAGGATAATTATCAAAACTATGCAATCCACAAATGACATGACCTAAAGCTCACTCTTTAAATTATAGTTTGACCATACAAACCTTCTGCAATTAACTTTACATTTAGTAAAACTATGTAATATGATTACCTACCTAATCTCTCCAATCAATTTGTATTCAATCAAGCAGGATCTTGTGCTATGTACTTGTTGGTAGATCTGAAGCAGATTGTATGATGAGATTGAAATGTGTGTGGTTTGCCACATCAGCAAAAAGGTGTTACACAAATCCCAAGCCAAGGTCAGCTTCTTCAATGGCATAAATCAGTCTCTATTTCAAAGAAGAATGGCATTTCTTTCTAACACTAAACAGTCTCCCTGCAAGGTGTCCATATCAATTGGGTGGGAGCTGTGACAAGCAAAACTGAAATATCTATACCAAACTATAAAGAGACTGATTTACATTGACTACTGTGTCCGAAGAAGTGGAGAATGCTTTGCAAAACACATAACATTTTTGCTGACGTACCGCAGAAATCCTAATTTGTAGATTGTATGCAATATGGACTTTCATGATCTAACCCAGTGTTTTTCAACCCTTTAGAATTGAGTACAATCCTGGGGCACATCAGTCTGAGGGCTCGTTCACAGAAGGAGGTGTGTCTCAGCGCAAGCTGCTTTTTGCATGTTCCTATATGTTGCATTTTTTTGATAGGCTGCTTTATGCTCGTGAAACACGTAAAAAACGTGCAGGCATGATTTTTAAATACTAATTAAATACTACTAATACTAAATGAAAGCTGTGCAAGCAGGCCAACTTGTCCTTAGCAACCAATGATGTCATTGGTTGGCAAGATGCAGGCGGGCGGCTTGCACAGCTTACTGTGTTGCCGGAAAGAGTACAGGTAACAGCGTAGAGGAGGAGAGAGCCTGTAGGAGGTGTTCTCTTCCTTCTCTCTTCACGGAGGTTTACAAAGTAACCCTTTTATGATCTGACTATAAAAGGTTACATGTCATTTTGCCACAGTACCCTTAAGGACTCTTTACGGCACCTCAAAGTGTCGCAACGCCCCGGTTGAAGAACCCTGATCTTAAATGCCTTTGACTGGCTGCTCTGGCAAGTTGAGTCTTCTATGTTGTGAAATTATCTACTTCTCTGCTAGCAGGATGATCATTTATTTGGACCATACTGTATTATAAATTTAACAACTGTTGGTTGTGTGTATATTCTGTTTTATTCTTTTAATGAAAATTAAGTAAAAGAAAAACCCTGATCTAACTGTATATGTCATATGAATGAAAAACTTTCAAAAGCTATCAAGGAGTGTATTAATTGTTATATATATGTGGTATATATCTGTCTTATGAAATGAGTACATGATTACAGTTATGAAATAAGATATTATTATGATGATGATGATAATGATGATTATGATAATATTTGCCCTATTTATCAATGCAAAAAAGTAATCAAATATGTAACAAACATATGGTACTTACTGTGTCCATTATGAAAATGCATCTTTTCTTCTTCTGGATCCTGCTTAGCTTTACTGTATCCACATCGCCTGTAAAAAAAAACAAAAAACAGTTTTTCTTATCACTAGTGACAGTATCTATCCAAAACACTGTCACTGCCTGTTACATAATCTGTAAATAGGGGATAATTTGAACAGTCACATGCAAGGGTGAACTGACAAGTCATGGGGCCCCCGGGCAATAGGGAATCATGGGGCCCCTGTGTCCTCACCCACACTGAAAACCACACCCAAAAAAGCCTATGAAAGGTACTAGCGGCATCTCATGGGGCCCCCTACTGACCCTGGGCCCTCGGGCAGTGCCCTAGTACCCGAATGGTCAGTCCGCCCCTGGTCACATGACTGTCTCCCCCTTTCACGGATCACGTTATAGGCATTGTAATCAGTGAAAGAACTTTTTTTTTCATTGGAGGTGGAGGGAGGAGGGACATGTCCGCATCAGATCATCAGCTGAGACCAGAGATTTGAAGTTGTTAATCTCTACAGCACCAGAACTTCAGCAACAGGAAGAGGAAAAGGCAACCCTGTGATGATGATTTCTACAGAATCCAGAAGTTAGCAGCCTCCAGGTAAATAATTTAACTAAAGATGTAGAGAAAAAAAAGTGTTTTAAACTAAAACCACCTTTAAACACAGGTTTCGGCCAAAATATTTTTGAATAGAGCAGAGAGGGGTGAAAACATTTATCAGGTTTTTATTGAGGTTTAGATTAATAAGAGGTACAGTTAATGCATCAGTAAAACAGTAAATTTGAAAAATATATAACTTTGTTTTTTAAAGTTAAGATTCAGTTCCCAGCATTTGTATTCATTTGCCAGTAGAAAGCGGGTCGGCATGTCTTCTGCTGGATCAAATTGCATAGTTTTGGCTATTTTTTAAATTATAGAGGACAAAGCAATATTTTGAACCACTACATAAATGTTTTTCATCTTTCTTCACAAAGTAGTGTCTGATAACAGAAAATATAGTGAAGAGATAAAACTGCAGAGGATAAAGTAGTGCAAAGATTGCCAGCAGCAGAACAATTTTAAATAGAAATGTTAGCACCTAATTAATTGCAAGTAGCAAAGCTAAACACAGGCCTGGACTTTACTACAAAATGTAAGAGACCACAGAAGACACAGCAGTGCAAAATTGAACAGCAGAGGGAAAATTTTAAATTGCAAGAGGTCCAATTTTACTAGAGAGAAAGAGCATAGGCTAAGGTTTTACTGCAAGAGCTAAGAAACTGTTGAAGATACAGCAGTGTAAAACTGGTCAGCATCAGGACAGTTGTAACTAGGTGTAACAGGCCTAACCAGAGTATGCCTAAATTGTATTAAATATAAGAGGATGGGAAGGGAGGGTGCGGTGAATGTGAGTGAAGTAATGTGTGAGATGGTTTAGGTGCCCACTGTTCTTGTAGGTGTTGACAACAGAAGAGCTAGCTGCCAGTCAGTTGTTGGATACAGATATTGGTTTTCAGATGTACAGATCTGTGTACACAGATTGGGCATCCAAGAAAATGTACTTCAGCACTGCTATTCAAAGAATAAAGCATAATTTGTTAAAGTAGATGTAAACAAAATTACTAAATCTCATTATAAACTTTAACAAGATAATATCACTTGTAAAGACCCATTACAAACACTCTATTATTTCTGAAAGCAGAGCTGAAGAATAATTATAATTTCATGCTCCTGTGAAAAGACAACATTTTCCATAGGTAAAGCTTTAAAAAAACACCTACTGTCAGGGACCATCACGACGCATGGGTCTACACATGCGTAGGTGTCTGTCAAGACATGCAGGCAGCAGGGCACTAGGACCCAGGCGCACCCATCGTCTATGACAGTACTGGGCAGGCACTAGGACCTAGGCTGCGCCTGTCAGGTGCAGGGCGGGCTACTTAAACCAGCCCTGAACAGACACTTGTTGCCGAATGGTCTTTGTGTATCCTGTTGCCTGTGTTGTGAGTACTCTGATCTGGATTGTCTGACCTTGTTGCCTTCTCCTGTCCTGACCCCTTGGCTTGCCTGACTCTGCTCCTGGATGCTCCCTTATAGATCTGATCTTCTGGTATTGACCCTGCGTGTGACCCGACTATCCCTTGCCTACAGTCTTGTACCACACCGACCCGCTAGTTACCGACACGGCCTGTTTGACTCTGATCTTGCTCATCAATCCATCCATCTCTCAGGGATCCCCGGGCTCCCTCACATCAGACTCTTAACCCACAGGAGCCTCTGGCAGACTCCTCTACCTCTGGTAGAGATACCCGGTAGCTGCGACTTGGTCCCGGAGCGCTCCAAGTCCATCCCCACCATCAGGGGCCCTGGTGAACAAGTGCTCCGGTACTTAGACTCCGCACTCTGGGGAGGCTCTATCAGGGGACTGATAGAGGTGCTGTCAGGTGGTCCGTTACACCTACAGGTCATTGAATAATATTACATACCATCCTATTCTTGACGGGGGTGTGGTATGAATGTCAAGTGGGACAAAAAAGCACGGTCGTGCGGTTTTCAAATTTTGACAGCAAGTGTGGAGAGAAGATTGTTTTGTGGGCGGCACAGTGGCTTAGTGCTTAGCACATCTGCCTTGCAATAAATGGGTCATGGGTTCGATTCCCGACCATGGCACCTACTGCCTGGAGTTTGCATGTTCTCCCTGTACTTGCGTGGGTTTCCTCCCACACTCCAAAGACATGCTGGTAGGTGAATTGGATCCTGTCTAAAATTGGCCGTAGTATGTATATGTATGAATATGAGTTAGGGACCTTAGATTGTACGCCCTTTGAGGGTTAGGGACTGATGTGAATGTACAATATATATGTGTAAAGCGCTGCGTAAAAATTGACAGGGCTATATAAGTACCTGAAATAAATAAATAATAAGAACCCCCGCCTGCTGTCACAGAGAGGGAAGAGCTGGGGGCAGGAGGTGGGTACATAGGAGCATGTTACATACTCTTTTACTCATGTTACATGTTCTCTTATTTCCTGTTCTGTTGACAATGGTTTCATTTTGCCGGAAGTGAGGGAAACTCTGCCAAAGAGACAGAGACAGACTTAAAAAAACCTGACAGAGGCTCTAGACTTCTGGTACTTTACTAATGAATAATGTTTTTCTGTGTTGCTGTAAGAGAGATTGCCATACTTTCTGTCTGGTAAAACATTGTTAGCCAGATAGGATGTGAGAGTAAATCTCTCCAATTGAGCCCTCTCTAGCAGTAATCATAGCAGGGGTCCTAACCCCTCTTCACTCTACCCAAAATTAAGAAAAAAAAATTTGAATGGACATACTGAACATTTAAAGGCAAAGAGTGCTTAGTGTTTTTTTTATTTTTTCAATAACCTTTTGTCTCCATAAGGTTCATTATTATTAAAGTCTTCGCTATTAATAACCAAGCTTATCCCTGTCCCTTGCATATTCACAAATATCTGTAACTAAAGAGCATTCTTTGAAATGTGCGAGTTCTCTTAATACAATACAAATATTTTCTCCTTGGAGATAAAAAAATTCCCCAAGATTCTCTAAATAAGCAGGAAAATTGCCAAGGCTATAAAAAGGCCTTTGTCACTGCTAAATGGTTCATAGTATATTATCTAAAGTGCGATTAAAAAGGCGGTAGAAGCAGCTTATTTTTCATTCTGGGGATCTCTGGAGGTCGATAAATGTATACAGCAGCATGTCACATTAACATACAAAATTAAGTCATGAAAACCCCAAAGTACCATAAAAACATGTCTGAACACGATGCACTGCATAATACTATAATACTATAGCAGGTTTATGTTGGCACGGCTGCACTGGTTCGGCTTCACTAATAATGCATGGCAGAAAACCTGTCTATGAAACATTATCTACCTTAGAGCTTCCAGATGTACTAAATTTACTGATCAGATAAAACAGGCTATAAATTTGTCACTTAGTGAACAAATTATGCCCTGCAACGTCTGGCAAGTAAATGCTGGCTTTCTGAAAAACAGATGTGTTAGATTTTGAGGGAATGGCTTTCAGCCTGCAGTTCAGCAGTGAGAAACATTTATTTGAACCCTAAAAAAATGTGTTGCAAAACGGGTAATCCAGCTGAATAAGCTCAAAACCCACAGACACATTGATAGATTTGGTCTGGTTAGTGCCATAGTAAATTCTGATTTTTTTTGTAAGCTTGCCATTTGAGTCGGGAGAATTATCCATTAAAGAAACAATAATAGGATCACTTTACTGGATTTACTGTACTTTAGCCCTTTTCCTTGCCAATGTGTGTAGAAACCAGCAAGCTAGTAAGACCTCCACTGGGTTCTGCCACCAGAAATTGAAGCCAGTCTGTCAATTATACCACTCACATTATTAATAGTATTATTTATTATTATTATTATTATCATACAGGATTTATATAGCACCACCAGTTTGTTGGGTTTTTTTTTTACAATATAAAGGGAGAAACTACAGATACAATACAATAAAAAAGAGGATTAAGAGGGCACTGCTCATAAAAGCTTACAATCTAATAGGGTGGGGCAAGTGGTACAAAAGGTTATAACTGTGGGGGATGAGCTAATGGAAGTGATAAATGTTTAATTGGAGGTTTGTGATAGGCTTCCCTGAAGAGATGAGTTTTCAGGGATCGCCTTAAGGCCCCCAGAGTAGGTGATAGCTGGACAGATTGGGGTAGAGCAGGGGTGTCAAACTGGTGGCCCTCCAGCTGTTGTGAAACTACAAGTCCCATCATGCTTCAACCTTTGGAAGTCATGCTTGTAACTGTCAATCTTACAATGTTTCATGGGACTTGTAGTTTGGCAAAAGCTGGAGGGCTGCCAGTTTGACATCTGTGATGTAGAGAGTTCCAGAGGATGGGAGAGGCTCTGGCGAAGTCCTGGAGACAAGCATGGGAGGAGGAGACTGCCCTTTCAGTGGAAGTCAAGTGATTAAAGGTTACTGGGGCCCCTTTCTGTATAGGCCAGTTTATATAAAAGGTGGAAGTCACTTTAACCACTTCAAGTCTCGACACTTTTACCCTCTTTCTGTCCAGGCCAATTTTCAGCTTTC